GTATTAGGGTCTATCAGAGTTGAATAGAGTTTTTAAACTTTAGAGATTTAACTTGATTTAACATTGAGGGATGTGAAACACTCTACATGAAACAAGAAATGTTATATTTACTCTAACTAGAACATTTCTTTCTACAAAATTAAAACAATGTTATACTGATTAGTTATTTAATCACATCAGCAAAGTTTCAAACATGAAACACACGAAATACTATGTTGTTTTTATACTTTCTGCTGTATCTTTAGTCTCCGACTTCTTAACTTTATGAAAATTAAAATTTATATGAACGTTCCTCAACTTTTTGTTTTTTCATAATTTCTATCAATAGGTAAGATAACAGCAGACCCTCTTAGTGCCTTCTTTATTTCTAAAATAACTCGTTTTTCTTTCTATCTGTTCCTCAAACTGTAAGTACTCCTTAGCCTATTGATTTTACTTTCTGGTTCTCGTTTTGCCTATGTCCTTAATAATGATTACTCGTTCGTTTTATATGCAGAGTATATTGTTGACAAATTCAGTCCATGTTATAAGGGGCACAAACAAACTCATACTATGTGACACGGTGTTTGTTGGACTTTCTGTTTAACGAACCCTACACATTCATTCCGATGGAAAGGAAACTTTTTAAACTCATTTGACAAACGTGGAATAAAAAGATCTTGCAAATGGCATGTCTATTCATTATTCGAGCGCCTCACAATAACAGAATTGAGCTACGTCTGCTATTTTGTAGTAACTGATATCAATTTGGCAACAACAACAACAAAAAAGCTACTTGAGAATTTTATCGCATGTGTAACATTTATAGAAGAAATCAGCTTGAACAATTTCACGGCAGTTCTTAGTACGTATTTGTATCTAACCCTTGGGATCTTTTGTACTTCGTGTTATTCATCTAGATATTCAATTTTTAAATAAAATAATCAATATACTTCATACGTTCAATTTTAGACTTATTTCAACTTTAAAACAAGACACGTGGCTAACTTCAAAATGTAATAATTAAAAATAAAATGTCGTCTCTAGACCAATACCATAACACTTCACTATGAACCAAAATATTGGATACAGCTGTCACTTTCAATAAAATTATTTTCTTGTTGTTATATTTCTTTATTATTTTTAATTAATTTTTTATATAATGCGATAGCAACTTTTTTCTGCTTAACTTTAATAAATCAAACAAATAGACACGTAAATTATAGTTTACGCACATACAGCCAAATCTGTTTTTTTCTCTTACGAATTAATTTCTGGAAGAAATTTACATTTTCTTTCTTCTTGCACTGGCGGTCCAGCCACAAACATTCTTTCGTAATGATAGTGACAAAACTGACTGCTTCGCTGTGCAGACGTTGTAACTTAATGCAAATCGGTATGTTTTATGTTATAAGTAAAACGAGAAACACGGAGAAAGTAGGGGAAACAAATGATCACTCTGAAAAGACCAGGTTATGCTAAAAATTATCTAAGAAATGATTAACAAATTAGAATATTATTTGATTCCATTTGTCATATTTCTCTGCAATGCAAAACATTCAATACATAATAGTAATGAAACCACATTCGTTGTCATGTTCGGGGTCGGGGGTCTTATCTCCTTCTTCAGTGCTGAATTATTTAGCCTTACCAATTTTTCTATATATTTATTTAATGTATAGGATTAAATACGGGTTAAAATGTATTTTAGGTCAAAGATATGCAAGTGTTAATCTATTGTGTTTATAATACTTATAAAAAAAGTTAATTGAAATGTCCACGAAATGTTTATGCCATCTCTTAAAAAAATATACCATATGTTAAATTTTTAATATAGCCCATTGTAAGTTAGGCCTAAATATACATTGTATTTTCCACTCATGTACTAAATCCTTAAATTTTTTTCATCCATTTGGAGAAACTGATATGAAAAAGAACAAGTAATTGTTTAATAAGAAGAGCTTTATTTTTCTTAATTTTACACGTACGAAAAATATATACTCCATTGAAACTGTCTTTACACTACAACTTTATTACATTTAAAGATATTTGACTTAATGCCAGGTATAAAACACAGCAAGCATATATTACATACAAATTATTCACCATCTTTGTTTTGAAATTTAAAATAAAATATATTTTTTCGTGTTGTTTATTCATAGAAAATACACAACACTGGTATGAATACCTTATTCAAATCTTCAAATATAAGTATCGCCATCTGTTGACAACACTTTATGTTACTTTTTTTGGACTAAAGTATCAATCTGGCTAGAAGGATATCAACGTTTCATAGAAAGAACATCAATCAATGCACCAGAAATGTAAATTCTATTTACGTGACAACAAAATGAAATATTGAACAATTGTTTCAAGCACGGATAACAGACATATTGTACATATGTGTCGTTATTATTTCAAGTAAATAATACAAGGTTTTGATGGGAATAATTCCAAACTTTTAATATAATTATGTCAAAGAACGAGAAAATGATAGGAACGGTTCAAGAGTTTTCTGATGTTGCCAGGAAGGGTTAAGTCATTATGACAACAGTTCAACATTTAGTTTCATAGCCAATTTTACAAAGAGATGTTGATTTCAAATAATATTAACTCAATCACATAAATTATGACGGTTTTTAGAAGAGCTAAATATTAACATTCTTAGTTCCAATCTATGCTTTTTGTCTGGACGTTTTTAAATACATTTTGACCCCCATAAAATAAGTTTAGCACAAATTTCATTCTTAACAGGAGAGCTGTTTCTCCTTCGACAGAAACGTAAATATAACTAGGTAATTATAGTAAAGTGTTCAACATAACGTATATATCTTACCTTATTGCTTGGGAAGTAAGAAGGCAGTGTTCGAATCAAATAAATAAAATGTTTAGTATCGATCTAAAGAACAGACACTAAAATGTATCATTTAATTACTTATACGGCAATCGCATGAAATGTATTAATAGAAAAATATACAAAAACAGCATAGTTTAAAACTACTGTAAAATAATTTCCATTCAATTTTCGAAAGATGGAGAAATGATTTGTTCCCTTTATATTTTAGACACATATTATTCATTATTTTCAAAATAAAAATCACTAGTTGCTTATAACTGTTGCGGAATAGTTTTTTGTACAAAATCTCAGTCACTTAAAAAACCTCTAACACAACTATACTTGTAAAAACTCTTAGCATATTTAAACTAGTAATTGGCATTGGCAACTCTTAAAGAGACTTATTACAACACCTTTAAGTGCACATTAGTGCAACGCTTAAAGTTACAACAGGAACTGGATATGTACACAATTACAACAAGCACACTCTACAAAAATCTGAATTATTAGAATATTCAACCTGTAAAAAGATATATTTCTCTAAACCCTAATAAAGTTGTAATCATGTGATCACAACATCAAAAACTTTGACCTTTTGGAAACAATCATCAGTCAAGTTCATTATTTATGCCTATGATTTCCGTCACTTTCAGGAAATCGGATATTTCAGGCGATTTCCGAATAACGCTTGTATTTATAAGCGCTGTTTAACGCTCGAACACACGTGCATGTGCATTCAAATATTATGTCATAGGGACGTTTCAGCTAAAATTTCAACCAGGCTTACAAATGTAAAGTGTTAATAACATTTATTCTTTTATTCATTAGAAATCTATAATTAACAGACATATTAAATAATTTTCCCCTATATTCCATTCATCTATATATAAGAATATTATTAACGGGCAAAATATATTTCTCAAGGAGATATGCGACAGGATATAGAAATACGAATAATGCACAAGCCAATGATGGAAGACTCGTAACTGATATCTCAAGACCAGGACAAATCGCTATTGGCATGGACTGGTATTATGCTCGTGTTCTCACTTGATTCAAAGTTCAAAAACACATTATCTATTAATTATTTTAGTTATTTTGCAAACATTTCCTTGTCTTTTGAAGTTTTTCTTTCGCTATTCTTCCCCATACATTTCAATCCATTTTTGAGGTTTATCTTTCTTTTAAAGACCACTGAATTATTCTATTTTACTTGCATCTTTTTTCTTTCCTTTTTAAATACAGTTTTAATCACAAATATACTGAGCAGAAGTACTCTTGAATCCTTATAATTTCTTTATTATCTAATTTTCACAACTGTTGTCCTTTTTCTGCTTCCATTCTTTCTATCAAAAGGTAAGATAAGAGCAGGCCCTCTCCCTGTCTTCTTTATTTCTAAAATAACTCGTTTTCCTCCCTGTCTGTTCTTCAAACTCTTGATTTTTATTTCTCTTTCTCGAAATACTTACCATTGTTTCACCACGTATCTGTCTACGAGCCTATAGTTTCGTATTATTATCTTTTATTAAAACTTTATAAACTTCTGTTCCAATTATTTCTCCCTACAAGTTCTATTATTTTATCTATTTATAGATCTTTATAAGTTTACCATCTTGGATTTCAAGCATCTAACAGTATACTTTCAACCATTCCTTCCGTCCGCTATATTTCTCACTAAAGATATTATATTCTATCCATCATTCACCTTTCGACAGTTCTTACTCCGTAGTAAGTATTTTATAACATATTTATTGTCATATTTCTCTTTTTACCTTCTATAGTTTGTCTATTTTATTTCTCTCTATATAACCTCTGTTGTTTGATCAAATTTTTCTCTAAGATTTTCTACTATACTGTCTATCCTATTTGTTATTGTAACACCTCTATTATTTGTTCCAATTATTTCCTATAAAAAATCTCTAATATTTAATCTTATATCTCTAAAATGTACTATTTTTATCATATTTTTTTCCGACGCAACTGCTACCATTTTATTTTATTTTTCCCCTGCAGAACTTCTATCGTTCTATTTATCCTATTGTTCTATACAGACATTAATCACTAACACATTCATTTTCAACTTTTTACTATCATCTTTGTTTGAATTTCGCGCAAAGCTACATGAGGGTTATCTGCGCTAGCCGTTTCTAATTTAGTAGTGTAAGACTAGAGGAAAGGCAGCTAGTCATCACCACCCACCGCCAACGAATAGTGGGATTGACCGTCACGTTATAACGGCTGAAAAGCGAACCCTCAGATTACGAGTCGAGCGCCCTAACCACTTGGCCATGCCGAGGTCACTATCATCTACCTCTTGATCTGACAATATAAAAAAAAATCATTCTTTCCAATATAGCAAAATAAAAATACCAGAAGCTTGGAATCTCACTGAAAGTTTATTGGAGAGGAAAATTTAGTATCAAGTCATTCAAGGAGGAAGAGAAAAAATTAAAAAAAAGACATACATCACGTGAGCAGATCAGTGTGTTTTCTATCCAAGATATACTACATCAACTAAACATTTATCAACTGATATTTTTATATCAAAGATCATGTCTATTACTGCTACTACTTTTCATCATATTACGATCAATGATTATATTGTTCCAAAGAACTTGAAACATTAAGAAAATGAAAATATGTATTTTTATGTAAGTCATTATTTGAACAGCTCCTATTTAGCGTACACTGTTATCTATATCATAGATTTAAAACTTGAAATGTTAAAATCATTGTAGAGCACTGCAAGAACTTTTATCGGATGTAATATTTTGTATTAAAAAATGATCTGTCAAATTGCACGAAATAATGATGTTAACTACAATTACAATATCTTGAACATAAGCAACTGAAGCATTAATTAAGAGAAGCGGTATAGTTTTTGTTTTATGCTTTTGTTTGTTTGTTTGTATGTAGTTAGGCACAAAGCTACCAATGGGCTATCTGTGCTCTGCCCACCACGGGAATCGAAACCCGGATTCTAGCGTTGTAAGTCCGCAGACATACCGCTGTGCTACTGGGGGCATTTTTTTGTTGCAAAAGAAAACGTAGAGTGTATTTTATCCAGAATCAAACATATATTCAGCAAGAACTAACAAGCTTTCCTGACTCATACCCCCTCCCCCAAACATACACTTTTACGAGTTACTTGTCCTTTATCTACAATATTTTATTGTTTGAGAAATCACGATGCAGAGATGCCAGCCATTAGCTGATTGAAGGTATTCAACACAGTAAAGATTTCCTACGATGTTATAAGTGGATTACATCATTGCCACAGCAGTTTGAAAATTTCGAATTTTAAAAACGATCATTGGCAAGCGAGTTGTGCCTTTGACTTGAAGATGTTTAGTTGCTAGTATGATGAGAAGAAAGAGTCAGCAACTTTATCACTAATTAATTATACGGATATTATTATCGTTACTGGGTTATCACACAAAAACTGTATAAAAGTCATTAGAGATAATATAATGTCTATAATGTTTAATGCTATAATTATCAATACTATTTTATCACATCGACTTTTCCTTAAAATATTTTCTACAGAGAGGCATTTACTATGATTTCCGCCGATCATATCATGATATCACATATTTTAACTGAAAGCTCCTCCATTAAAATGTAGTTACCATAATTACTGTTGGTAATATAACGGTTTCACGTACAGTTTTAATTACAAGCTCTATTTATGAGACACAATCACTATAGTTACTACCGGATATATCATGATATCATAATTTTTTTTAAACGTACACCTGCTAAAATGCAAATACTATTATTATTACCAGTCATATCATGATATGATACATAACTTCTGTTAAATACATACCTATTGAGATACGGTTATATCATGATATCACACAATTTTTGTTATACACAATCCTTAAAAAACGGAGTTACTATTATAACTGTCATGATATCAAATATAATGCTTATTATAGGGTCGTCCATTAAAATTTAGTAAATTATATGCTGCTTTTCATATAAAGGCACTGGCTGTTTTACACTAATAAACCTCGGCCTACTACATCTTCATATATTTTGACATGAAATCTAGAGGGAATTTCTAAGCCCTTATAGTTTTATTACAAATGTATTTTGAGAATCTAACTATTCTAATTGTTTATGGTCCTTGAAAGTCCAGGGAGCTGAAGTGTGTACATGTTATTATCATCATCAGACGCTGAGCGTAGATGAACTGTAAGATTTTTCAAGTATTTAATTTTTCCTGTTTTCTTTAAACAACGAAAGCTGTCTATATTCTTTAGCAACATGTCTCGATACCTATGTGACATACGTCGTAATGTACAACACTAATACAGAAAGCAATATTGAAGGTACAATAACACCGCTTATATTCACTGTCGTTTTTCAAGGTAAAAATTCTATAAGAAAAACGGTTTTCAGTCAGAATTTACAACCGTTAACCTCTTCTGAGTGTATTTTTTAAGATTTTTCTTTACCATATCTATTTAGAACAGGAAGAAGAAACAATAAAAACTTGTGATCGCACCAGTGATCGAAACGTCGTACCTGATCTAAATACAAATCTTACTTACTGTAAAAGCTATAACTTGTATAAAATAAACACTAAAGATATTATCCAACCAAAATTGTCTCATCGGATATTAAAGATAAATCCATCACCCTCAGTCCATGTTCAGTGCACAATAATCCATTGAAATAGGTGGATGCTGTAAAATAAAAGTGAGAGAGTATAAAATTAATATTAACACTTCGAAACGCGAAAAGAAAGATAAGGCCTGATTTATGTTAGTTATTCCAGTAAAATGACAAATGTTTTTAGTAAACTAACCAGTTACCTTATATATAAATCACTAAGTAAAATATAACTGTATTTCCTGCCACCAGTGGTGTTGTGGAAAACAATGTTCATGTTTTGTTTTTTCATATGACTGTATTTGGCTTGTTTTATATATATATATTAATATAAATTTCCAAAGAAAAATTTTAAAGATGTAATAGCTTGACGAGAGACGAAGGTATAATAAGCTTTGTTGTTAATATTAGGCTGGGACTGGGACTGAAGTTGCAAATTGTTGTTAGTTGTTGGTCTTTAGATTGGATCTTTTTCGAACTCACAGACGACTCACAAACTCATTAAGAAACTGATCTCATAGTGGAATACAAATAACTACATTTTAAAAACAGAGGTCCGTATTCTAACGCCACTTTAGTGGAGTTTTTATCCTTACCAAGAATCAAAACGTAATTTATCTAATTTATTTCAAAACGATCTGAAAGTAAGCTACGCCGAACTGCAATCTCATTCTTAAAAAAAAAAGTTTAATTGGAAAGTTTTTGTTTATTGAATTTTACGCAAAGCTACTCGAATGCTATTTGCGCTCAAGCCGTCCCTAATTTTGAAGTGACAGGTTAAAAAGAAGGCAGATAGTCAACATCACCCACCGCCAATTCTTGGACTATTCTTATACCAACGAATAATGAGATTAATCATCACTTTTAAACGCCTACACGGCTAAAAGAGCGAGCATGTTTGATGAAAGAATTAGAGCCTACGACCCGCCGATTGCGAGACGAGTGCCCTAACTATCAGGCCATGCCAGGCCTTAAATAAAAATAAAGACATCTCTACTAGTTGAACACAAAGCAAAAATAGAAATAACGTCGAATATTACAAATATTTTCTAATTTTCTTAGATTATCCAATAACTCCTTTGAACCAGTACTTACTCCAAGATTTAATTGGTTCTGCTATTACATGAAAATCACTACTTCTGTCTCTAATATGACATAAAAATACCATCGTGGTGTTTGTTTCAAAGCTTTTCCTAAGTATTTTCTTCAACTGCATAATTATATTTTAACTTCATCATTTTTTTAATACATGACGCCTTATTACACCTCATATATACAGACCTTGTTACAACCGATCCAAACCATGAAAAATATTCCAGTAAATACATTTATTTATCAACTATGGAATGAACATTTATAATCTTAAATATGTTTTTTTTATATTTATACACTTTCTTCCTTAATATAAACGACCCGGCATGCCAAGTGGTTAGGGCGCTCGCCTCGCAATCTGCGGGTTCAAATTCCCGTCACACCAAACATTCTCGCCTCTTTCAGCCGTGGCGGCGTTATAATGTGACGGCCAATCCCACTATTCGTTAGTAAAAGAGTAGCCCAAGAGTTGGTGGTGGGTGGTGATGACTAGCTGCCTTATCTCTAGTCTTACACTGCTAAATTAGGGACGGCTAGCGCAGAAATGCCCTCGTGTAGCTTTGTGCGAAATTCATAACAAACAAACAAAAACGACCCCTGTGTTTAAAAATATGGTAGGTATCTTCTTACTCTATAATCAGGAGGAATGACATCTGTGCTTAATGTCATAATACACAATTTATGTAAAGCTGTGGGGAGAAAACCACTGTTTAAAATTATCATACTCTTATTATAATGGTTGGAGACGGCTTGAATGGGTAATGAAGAAAAACTTATATTAAAGTTTTCTTCATTACCCATTCAAGCCGTCTCCAACCATTATTAGTCTCAAAGTGGGTTCCTTGTCATCGAATACTCTTATTATGTTACTCTTAATTGCTGCTCTGGGAACAACAGGAAAGTTTTCGAGTTTACCGTTTTTGCCATGCCTACTTGTCACACATAATCTACTGTAAGAATAACAAGCAATTTGTTTTCGTGTTTACCGTTTTTGCCATGCCTACTTGTCACACTTAATTGATACTGTAAAAATAACAAACAAATGTTTTTTCGAGTTTACCGTTTTTCCCATGCCTAGTTGTCACACATAATCTACTGTAAGAATAACAAGCAAATTTGTTTTCGTGTTTACCGTTTTTGCCATGCCTACTTGTCACACTTAATTGCTACCCTAAGAATAACAAGTAAGTTTTTTTCGAGTTTACCGTTTTTGCCATGTCTACTTGTCACACTTAATTGCTATTCAAAGAACAAAGAGAAAGTTTCTTCGTGTTTACCGTTTTTGCCATGCCTACTTGTCACTCTAAAACCATGAAAGACGACCTTCTTATTTCTAGTTCTGTTTTAGCTTTTTCCATGACCAAAAGCTCCAGTTGATCGCTATCTGAGTTGTAAAAGGATTCGGCAATCAACTGCGCCACCTGACGATGCTCCATTTTACTAGTCTTAAAACCGTTCACTTCTAAGATAATGTGTCCCACCTTTAAACCGCCAGCTTCAAACGCAGCTCCAGAAGCCTGTAAATGTCATAAGACATTGATATCTTACTTTCAGAATCAATGTACAAAATTAACATCATAATGTGTCATACGAGAGTGATATTGTACGTTTCAGTAATATCTCAAGTTTCATTGATACCTTAAGTTTCAGTAATATTTTACGTCTCAGTGATATCCTAAGTTTCAGTAATACCTTACATTTCACTATCAGTGTAAAAAATAACCTTATAATGTTGTAATTTCGCAAAGTTGTTTCCTAAACCGAAAATTAGTATCTTATTCTCATTCAAGGTTGCCAAACTTACAATTTTGTTTTTACTGTCATACAAACAGTGGTATTTTATCACTGACGTCATTAAAATAAAACGTTTGTTGCTATTTACAGGTCTACGAAAGTATTAAAATGTGACTTTTTTGCTGATTGTCTGTATATTTACGGACATTTCACAACCTATACTTAACATAATTTTGTTTCATTGTTCTAGATTTTTTTATTAAAAATAACGTACAAAATCTTTGAACTATACTCATCGGTGAAAATTGTAAGAAATAACCGATATTTAAATGATGTAGTATCATTTTAAATTTTCATGGTAATTAATCATACTAAACTAATGAAGACATTTTACGTTGAAAAATTAGTGTCGCCATCTGTTAAGGGCTACTAGAACTTACGTGAATACTGATGATTCTAGGTAAAGGTTGTCCCGTGTTAACACCACCTTCAATGGCGATACCCAGCAAAGGCCTTGTCTTTTTAATAACTATTCTTAACCTTCCATTGGGTTCAGGAGTGGCACGATGACCCTATTAAAAGCAACAGAAATTAAAATAAACAAAATTTCTCTCTTTTCTCCACATTTATGTACTTGGAAAACAAAACCATATTACAAACACGAGTATCTGAAACCAGATTTTTCAATTTTTTTTTTTATCTAACCTTACCAGAAGCACACAGGATATTGGACAGTTTTAGTTGTGTTTTTATTTGTTTTATTATTATTATTATTATTATTGTGATCTTACGTACTTTTCAAATTCATGGATATTTTCTTTTTCAATAAGTCTGAAAAAGATCACAACTTACTTAAAGCCAACATTAGATATCACTGATACAAAACTATACATAACTGCGCGTATAAAAAAAACTGTTTTATAACGGCTAGTAATCAAATAACAGTAAGTTCGTTTTGCTTGTCATTCAAGAACTCAAATGTTTCAAACGTCTTGGCTTTAAGTAGATTCTTTTTCATTAATTAACTGAATGGTTGCACTGATAAATAGCGTGTAGTACAAAGAGATACAATTTGAAAGAAAAAGAAACAGTTTAAATAGAAAAGGTATTCCCATGGAAGTGCAGATTATTTAACTTATAAGCCAGAGTTTTAACTGAAGTGACGCCTCCAGTGACTCGGCGGTTAGTCTGCAAGCTTACGACGCTAAAATTGGGTTTCAATAACTCTGGTTGACAGAGTGCAGATAGCTCATTCTATAGCTTTGCACTTAACAACAACCAAACTAAAATTATCCAGTGACTACAAATGCTAGAGTGGACAGGTATACCAGTTTTTCTACTTCTGGAGACAAGCATGTAAACTAAGAAAATCCCGTCAATTTGTTTGTTTCATTTGTAATTTTGCACAAAACTAACGAGAGCTATCTGCGCTAACCATCCCTAATTTAATACTAGTCAACAGCACTCACCACCAACTCTTGGGCTACTATTTACCAATAACTAGTGGGATTGAATTATGCTTAACTTTTCTTTCCTTTAATTTCTAGATATCGAGGGAAATAAGAGTAATGTTATGGCATATCCATTTATCTAGGCTTGCTCTGTATCTTATAACAAATGACGACGGTCTACTGAACTATTTAAACTTAATTACATGAAATATTTTGCTTTATCTGTTGCATAAAAACGAGAGATACCTAACACATAAATACCTTTAGTGATGCAGTATCTAAGAAAAAAAGTATCGAACAATGTTCGAAGATTAAACGAGTTTCATTTATTTTCGTAGGTTTGTTTGGAGACTAAGTTTCGATCTGTTATCCTGGAAGGAAATACAGCTCGCTGATACTTCCAAATTAGATCAAGTTTCTCTGCCTAAGCCTTCTTTGGTTTTAGTAACAAATATTGAAATAACAAGTAGAAAAACGCCAAACAAGAGAGGGTATTTTTCAATCAGTTGACTAGTTTATCAATGTCTAGTTCACGTGTTTTTGTTCTGTTCTGTTTTTTTTGTTTTTTTTAATGTCTCTAAATTATCCTAAACATTCTCAGTTACAGCTCTTTAATTCTCGTCATGGAATCGCAAAAACAACGTATCTAGTGTTTTTTTTTCTACTTTTAATTGTAAAAGTAGAACATTATCCGTTAGATGTCCTTGTTATGAAAAAGACATTATCAAGTTTAAATTATTTCAATGATCAGGCTCTTCTTTATTAGGGTTAATCCTTACTTTAATTACTATTTGCAAATGACTAAATAAAATCAATAAAGATTACACTTAATTACACCAATTTAATCTAGTTTACACCATATTCGTTATTGTTATTTAATTTGATGATATAAATTGTGTCTCAACCACTACTGCGTCTGTCGTATCCCAGCCGGACTGACGATCCATGTTACTGGGCGAAAGGTCACGTCAGCACTGGATATAACGGATACAGTGTAGCTGACATATTGTTATATCTTCTTCTTTACTTTTCCTCACAAGTTGCTAGAATTTCTACCCAATTAGCGTCGTGAGCCTACATTGTCTTCACGAAGTTTATACGTGGTGTCGATAAAGTTGCGTCTTTATATTTCCCAATTATAATGTTTGATTTATAATATTCTTTAACATTTAAAAAAATATTTCTTTTGTTTGTTCACTTAAGTGCAAAGCTGTAAAATAAAATATCTGCAATGTACCCATCGCATGGATCAAGCCTCGAGTTATAGTACTGTAAGCCCTCAAATTTACTACTTAGCCACCGAGGTTCTAAAAAATTCTCTCTAACAATGAAAGCATATTTTTTATATATAATAAAACTTTAGTGACTGAGTACATAACCTTTAACACTGCTGTTTTTTTATAACTATTGTTGTTGTTTTAACACAAAGCTATGCAATGGGCTATATGAACTCTGTTCATTGTGGGGAATCAAACCCCGGATTGTAACCCCGTAAACTTATCGCCGATCTAATGGGGGATTTTATGACTATTTGAATTACATGTGAAGTGAGCACATTGTGCATGTTACCATAAAAAATATATTTTATTATATAACGAATAATACTGTCTATATACTGAAAATAGGATAAGATATCTAAACGTATTTCTTGTAAGGGTGAGATAGTTCACATTCTCGATATTTTTAATGGTTTTACAAAATATATTATTACCTTTGCCATTATCGCTTTCTGGTAAAATCGAGCATTTTTAATAGGTTTATGAGGTAGCCGAGATACATTTAGTCAAAAAGGTTTATCCACAACTGGCTCAACAAATCAGAAGAGCTGGTTCTACACTCTGGACGTATAGTTAAACAAAAAAAATAAATAATAACTGTAAAAACTCTTAACTATCAGCTCAAGAGGAAGAAAATGTGTTAACAGCTTTCACTGAAAGATTGACAGACGCCATTAACAGCACCTATGAAATACAAAAGCAATTTTTGTATAGATCGCAAGCGCAAAGAATTCCTCTTGTGCAACACACATATTGTACATAGTTTTAAGACGAAGGATTTCACAGCTTGAATATTATTATCAGACAAAATGAATTGCAAACCTTGAATAATCTTACCCGAATAACGCAAAGATTACACAGCTTTTACATACTTATCAGGCCGACACACAGAAATACACATCTTGTATATTCTTATCAGCTCGACAAAAAAACCAAACATATTATATATTCTTATCAGGTCGACACAAAAAACTAGACATATTATATATTCTTATCAGACTGACACAAAGAACAGCACATCTTGTATATTATTATCAGGCTGTCACAAAGAACTGCACATCTTGTATATTATTATCAGACTGTCACAAAGAACTGCACATCTTGTATATTATTATCAGACTGTCACAAAGAACTGCACATCTTGTATATTATTATCAGACTGTCACAAAGAACTGCACATCTTGTAGACTATTATCAGTGGCACAAAAAACTGCACATTTTATAAATTATTATCAGACTGATACGAAGAACTGCACAGCTGTTAGATAATTGACCACGTGCTTTCCTATAACCTTCATATTGTAACTAACGAAGACTATTAATAAGTAAAAGTCCTAAATTCCGGGAATGCCACAAATTTCATTAGACAAACATTAGTCAAATAATTAATAAATCACTCAGTTAAACTCTACTTTAATAGAAGAAAAAAAATTAATTTATTTAACCGATTTTCTAAATAAGACATAACATATAAACTCATGGCATACCTGAAGAAATTCGCTAACAAAAATGAATATGTCACGGATAAGAAAGAAGTTATTGAGTATATAGATCATTTACAAAGTAGACATGTCATCACTCTCCTCCAATCAAGAAGCTGACAACTTTGTTTTTATTTGTATTGCAAATAAAAACAAAAAAGTTCAAAATGAAATATCCATTACCAGTCCTTTTCGTTACCGTTAAGTCAGACATTTTCCATTATGTGATCGTAGCGTCCAAACGCGTTGGGGATATTCCATCTATTGGATATGATCCAAACGCAGATGTCGAACTTAGTTAACAGGAGAATTAATTAGGGGTTAGGAGTTGGGTGCTTAAGACAAGTTTATACAGTTAATTCTGACGTTTAACCTACAACGTCACCACTCCTACCACAATTCGCTGTCTACAGCTAGTTGTTGGAAGACAGTCATCTTAGTCTTTAGACATACACGAGTTTTAGAAATAAACCACCTATATTTCTACAATTTTAAGATTTAAAACCTCCACCCTTTTCAATAAGTATTACAAAATTATGTTAAATAAGGCAATCATCCCAATATTTAGACATCAAAATAGTAAAAATAAATTATAATATTTTTTACTTTTATAAGACTCCCAACCTTCACCCCTTTGAATAAGTATTACAAACTATTCAACGATGTAAAATTGAACTAAAAAACCCTTACCTCAACAGTTTTGTAATAATTACTTAAACTCCCATTCTCCTCCCTTTCAAAAGAAAATTATTCAAGTATAAACCGGGTAAGCTGAGAAAAGTCAAGTTCCTGAATTTGGTTTAACCGTCCTCGTATACTGAACAAATACCGAAAAAAATTACAGTTAATTATTTATAAACTTGAAATTACCTTCAGTAAGTAGCGGCCTCTTTGTGTTTTTCAGAAAGTATTTTCGGTAATCGTAACTTTATTTTTAATATATTTTATTTTTATTTTTTATTTGCCAATCTTTGTAACAGTTATTGTTTAAATTTAGTTCTTAATAATTGAACACTAACCATGAATGGAACTAATATTGTTACAAACTGTTTGTCTATGGCCAGGTGGTCAGGGAGCTCGACTCGCAATCTGAGGTTCGCGGGTTCAAATCCCTGTCCCACCAAACATACTCGCCCTTTCAACCGTAGGGGCGTTATAGTGTGACGGTCAATCCCAATATTCGTTGGTAAAATAATAGCCCAAGAGTTGGCGGTGGGTGGTGATGACTAGCTGCCTTCTCTATAGTCTTACACTGCTAAAGTAAGGCCGGCTAGCGCAGATAGCCCTCGTGTAGCTTTGCGCGAAATTCTAAACAAACAAAAAAAATGTTTGCCCCTGAAGAAGAAAGGTCCACCTTTCGAAAGCGCTGGGGTTATAGGGTTTTTATTCATTTCTATCAAGACTTCTTGAACCTACGTGTTTTTCTAACGTCATGAATGTTACAAACTGTCAAAAAGCTTTTGAATTCAGATATAACAATTCGTTTTAATAGTATAAATTGAACTACACTGTTTAGGGTAGGTAAACCAAGGATTCGAAAACTAAAATTCCTTCTTTTGTCAAACATAGTTAACTGTATTCTGTCTTCCAAAAATGATACCTAAATCGAAATTGTTTGTTTGTTTAGAATTAAGCACAAAGCTACACGATGGGCTATCTGTGCGCTGCCCGCCACGGGTATCGAAACCCGGTTTTTAGCGTTGTAAGTCCGCAGACATACCGCTGTGCCACTGCGGGGCCTAAATCGAAATAGTGTGCATGAATATAACTATTGCTACTTCTTTCTATTGTAAGTTCCTTTGGAGATATTTGATTTATATCACAATTTAATTAAGTTATTGATAGAGATTAGATCATCAGTGTAAAGGTATAACTGTATAAGTTAGGGTTTATTATTTGTTTCTTAAATAGGCTTATAGAAGTACAGATACAGGTTAGCCATGTTTGTGGAGAAATTATCTCCGTTGGAATACTCACTATTTTTATATTAAATATTTATTGTTTTTTAGTTTGTAATTAAGCACAAAGCTACACAA